ATGTCCAACAACTTACTCTGTTGGCTTCACCACTTGCCCAGTTAATGAGCTGAAGTAAATAAGTGAGTGTGTGGAAGTAGCAGGCATAAAAGGAGTAAATAAAAGAGAATAAGAAAGGATAACTCTTTCTACCTTTCCTAGGAAAGGTGCTCAAAAGCTATTTGTCCTGTTTCAGCTCCTAGGACATAACTGATGTTTTAATGAAGGGAGGTCATATTTAACAAAGCTGCAGCTGCATTTTTTGTCAAACAGGGAATATTTCTGGATGTTCTCTAATTTCCTTTTCAATGCATTCAATACGTGTGTTGCTTTTAAGTAGTAGGAGAAGAAAGTGTGTACCAAAGAACTCAATTTTATATTCCTTTAGCCAACAGGACGTTTGGTGCTGGTTCTATTCTCATGCCTCCTGCCCTAAATATAAAGTGAGGGCTGATGCTAATTTTCCTAGAGCCTTATTTGGAATGTAAATAAGACTGAAGATAGTTGCTCATTATGGAGCTATTTTGTTGTGTAAGGGTTTGTAAATATTTTTGGTTTCTTAGCTACAGGAGAGTAGTTAGCCTTCCCATAAGCTTTCATTTTCTTCTAAAAATACCATCATCCCAGTAAGTCTTCCTAAGACTGGAAATCATTTGTTTTTTCTACCTGTTGAGGCTTGACAATGACCACAAACACTGATTTCCTAAAAGGGGATGCAAGTGCCTAGCAAACCCTGTGGAAATTACAGTGTTTGTAGTAGAGTCAGATTCAAACAGACTTTTTTGGTCTGGTTTAGTTTGGCTCTAAGGTTTATTTCCCCCTTTTCTAAGGTTTATTTCCCCCACTTGCCCCCCCCCACTCCCCCACCCCCCCCCGTTCCAAGGTTTATTTCCCCCCCAGCAGGGCTGCTGGGTTCTGTATTGGTAGATTCTTTGGCTAAGTTTCTTGCTTATGTGCTTCAACTGGAATAAAACAGTGGGAACACCCAAGCTGTGCTAGTAATGGACAAGGCTGTTAAGACTGCAGGGGAAATTTGCTTCCCAAAGTGTCCATGACCAAAGCAGATTAGATCAGCAGTCAATCTTTCTTAATGTTAGTGAGAGGGTTTGTCATCTGCAGACTGACTACTTGACATTCTTGCCACTTGTCACTGTAGCTTCTGAGAGTAATGAAACATTTTGTAGAACAGTACCATGGTCTTTACCCTTTTGCAGAGATTTTTGAGGAGAAACCCAACTTGGGGCCATGGGTGAAGGGATGGAGGATCTGAGGAGAGCTGCTTCGAGACAGTGTATGTGTGCGTGTATCCAGGCACTCAGAAAGAGAAGTTACACCGGGAACTACAGCTGAAGTACTAATTGAATGTAGATTTACCACCCACTTTCCTTGCTGCTCTAAGAGCCTTTTGGTTACCATGGTTTAGAGGAGTTGTACATCTTAGGGCATAGCTTTGCCTTTTGTGCATGTGTGAAAGGAGAAGGGTTGAGTCTACTCGCAAAGAACCGCTAAATGAAAAAGCTTAAACTCTGTATTTGTGCTATGGATATGCATGAAGTACTGACACTGGACTTACAGGGCTGTAGTTGTTGTGTAGCAACCATTCTTTCTCAGCATCTTTTCGTGGTATGTTTTCTGGTGCTTCTGATTTTTAAGTTAGCTAGTTGGTTTGTATTTTTACTTGAATAGCTGAAGTGAGTCAAGCTGCTTTAATACAGGCTCATCTCATGAACATAAGTATTCTGCTGTCATCTCTTGAACATAAGTATTCTGCTGTTGTAAGGAAGCTGGTCTTAGTTCTTTTGTTTGAGGGGGAACTGCAGCAAAAACTGGTCTAATGACAGTGTCGTGGTAGTATATCCATCAGGAATATGTACCCCAGTTTGCTGAATTCTGTGATGATATGTACCTACTGTAGTTGACTTAAAAGGGATTGTTTTTTCTTTTATTTACACACCCTTTTGATTTATAGTGAAAGTTTTTAGAAAATTGCCACTAAGTGAGAAAGGCTCTTTAATTCTTATGTAACTTCATTGATGGTTCCAGCTCTTTTCTTTGAAGGTGATCATCATGTCTACCATTCTTCAAAGAAATGTTTGTACTCCACACATTCTCAGGATCTCTTGTCCTTGATTACTAATCTAAATAATAGTGCCTACCTCTCTCTGAAGTCCTATGCTAAGCAATTGAAAACAAGGAGTTAGATATGTTAGAATTTCCTGTTAGAACTGTAGTGTTTTTATTTGCACCTTTGAAGCTAATTTGATGGAACACTCTATTACAGCTTCTGGGTAGATAACCTGAAGTATTTAATCTCAGTTTTCCCATTTGATGTTACCTGATGCTGTCTCTTCTTGGTGGAGGTGGGGGGAGAGGGGGCAACAACAAAAAAAAAACACACCTGCCCCAAAATAAAAACTCACCATCAAAACAAACTCAACCCCCCAAAACAATTCTTGGCTTTTGCGTCATTCCGTCTTTGTGTCAGAGAATATTTCATTCTGCAGCAGTAGTTACAATACCTGTTAAGAAACTGCAATTAACACTGTTTAAAGAAACCATTAAAGGAATTATGACTTCTTATGTAAAAATACACCTGAATTAAGATTTTTACCAGAATCCTTTTTATAATTTTTATCACAGTAGTTATTCCTTTATAGTAGACTGCTAAAAGTAGGAAAGCGTCTTGAGCATATGCTGATCGTGTCACATGTATTACTTTTAAGATGGAAGCACTACAGAAACCAGTATTGCTTTTCTCTTACTGTTGATTGTATGTGATGTTTTAAAGTTTCTTGCCTATAAAGTTCTTGTTAAAAAAATATTAACCCTTTATTGACTGCTTTCTTTCAGAGATGTGGTACTGGGTTTTCCTCTGGGCTCTCTTCTCCTCTCTCTTTGTCCATGGTGCTGTGGGAGTATTAATGTTTGTGATGCTGCAGAGGCATAGGCAGGGGAGGCTGATCTCTGTCATTGTGGTCAGCATTGGATTTCTGGGTTCTGTAACTGGAGCAATGATAACCAGTAAGTTTGCCTTTTGCTTTGTTTGGGCTTTTTTGTTGGATTCTTTTTTCTTTCTTATTTTACATATAACTTCTATAAAGATAAAAATATTGTTTTAAGTGAATTGTTGATTGTTTACTAAGGATTTCTTCCCCACCACCACTCCTCAAAAAAAAAAAAATTTAATCTGTGCTGATGTTCTAGGTAAAATGATGTTTGTCAGGATATCTGTTGCAGAGTTTCTTATGGTGCTAGCCTAATGCCTACTACTCAAGATACATTTTTTTTTTTCTCTCTTGGTATTGTATCCACAGATAAGATGCAACCCTTTTTCTGTTAAAGCTTTTAAAACCTATATTCATGATTAGAACACTGCAAAAAGTGGGAGTATTTTATGTAGTAAAGTGCAAAAGCGTTTCACCTGACCGAATGTGACACGTGACTGATGTCGCCAAGAATGTTTTGAGGAAATGCTGTTTAGCTGCTTTAATCTAGAGTTACTGGTATCAGATACTGCTTTTCCATATTTCCTAAGAAATTATGTTATCTGCGTCAGTTCTGAAATATATGCCATGAAACCCTTAGAACACTTTATTCAGTCTTCGGCTTTATCATATCCAGCTAGGTTTATCTAACTTATAACTACACTACAGTAGCTTTCCCAAGCAACTAGTTGCTGCGTGAGTTTTCTGTTGCAGGGGAAATAGTGAATATTATTTTTTACAGGAAAGAAGCATGTGCTTCATTGTCTGAAGCAATGCTGGTAAGGTTTCAACATTCAAGTCAATGTATTGAATGGTGCCTGTGTTTACTGAGCACTAGTTTCTGCCCAAAGGTCTTCAGTGTTGTTGACAAGATGGCCTAACTTGAAAGGCCTTTGGGGATAAGGAACTGTAAATCCTGCAAACATCATTTACTCTGTAGGCAAGCCTTGCTGCCTTTTATTCCCATTTTCCTGTGTATTGCCCAGATCATCTGAACAGTGCTATGACTTCAGCTTTGGACAGATCCATGGGTGATTTGTGACAGATTATTTCTTACTGCTACTGAAAGTCCTACTTGCCTGTTGGTTTTCAAGGTTAAGTAAAAATGCAAATTTCATGAGAAGCTTCATTAAGACATTCCTCAAAAGGTTGTTTTATTTGCTATATGTTTCTCAGCCTAGAATTTCTACCCTTCAACATAGTATAGTTCAGTATAACTACATTTTTTCATTTTATTTTTTTCTTTGCTAAGGTGAGGTGGAACTAGTTGAGTGCCTTGCATTATACAATATCCTAATTTTTGTCTTATGATTAAAATGGCCTGTTACAAGGTCAACCATGCACGGGCATTTCTGCAGTACTGAAATTAGGAAATGTGATGTTGGAATATCCAAGCAGAGACTTTCGCAGCTTTCTGTGGTGGGTAAGGTTCAGGATCAGTGTTTCTCAGATGGAAGCACTTTGTGTCTTTTATCTATGCATAAAAAGAGGAGCAACACAGTTGTATTTTTGGCATCCAGTTTTTCAGGTCAAAACATTTAGCAAGTAAGCAGTCCTGTTTACATGCAAAATCATTTCTCTAAGCTTAGACTGTAGACTTGTTGTACAGTTCCCAAAGATTTCGCATGGAACATTGTAACTTGTTCAGTCAAATACCTTTACTTTGAGGTATTTCTTGTTTCTGGCCAAAACAGGGTTGTTTCATTCTGCAAGAAATTCTGTGGAGAGCTGCTGTGGAGACGAATTATGGTGATCAAATACTAAAGAGGATTTTTTTCATAGCTATTGTGTTGCAAACTCTGAAATGCAAGTTGAAGTATTAGTTGTTTGGATGTGCCTGGTCCAGTGCTTAAGAAATTGAAATAGCAAACTGACATCAACTTCTACTTTGTATTTCCAGTCTTCTGTGTTGTTCGTATAGGTCAGTGAGGACAATGTAGATTATTAAATAATGCAAGTTTAATTTTGTTCAGGTAGATTTTTCCAACTTCCTGGGGTCTTTTGGGGGTCTCTTTACCAGCATACAAAAAAGCAGGAGACTGCTTCATTTCTAAGCTTTAAAAAATATCACAAAATTTGATGGTTATAAAAAAGGTATTAAAAATTTACTAAATAGCAGGAATAACCTCCAAACAAGCAAAACCCCCATAAAACTCAACCAAAACCAACAACCAAAACCACAACAACCAAAAACCCCGTCCAAACCAACCAAGAACAGATAAATATCGGGCAGCTTAAGGCAAGGATTTTAGCTGTATGCCATCCAGAAGTGTTTGTTCTTATTCCTTTCCCCCGGCACAGTCCTTTTTGGTGACATATTCTCATTTCCCTTGTTGGCAGCCTGTTGTAGTGTACTTTGGCACTATACCAGCTGTGCTGGGTTATGCATTACAGGTTGTATTACATGCTGTTATTTGAGTAATAATATGTAATTAGCAAACTAGCAATTTTTTTTATTGTTTTATTATGGATATTTTCCAGAATATCTCAGTGTTTTCTCAAGAAGCCCAACGTTTCTGTTATAGATTAACTAATAGCGCCAAATTCTAGTGTGCACATTTGGCCAATTTGAATTCACTTTGAGAGTTCAACCGCTAAAATAATTTTCATGTCAGTAGTGGGCTCAGTCTAAGGGATATCTTTTGGTTTTTGACAGCAGCTAGCCAAGGAACAAATGGAAAAGCTTATGCAAGGTAGCTGAGTGAAATACCATAAGGCAGGCCTTCTGGTGAGATGTTTCTGACAAAATGTACTTTACAGAATATGTCTGTTTTTTTTTTAAAAACAACAATAAAAAATATATGAACCCAAAACTTACCTAACAGCCTCATTAATAGTGTTTGTAAGTGCTGTTATGGCCAAAATTATTAGTGAATTCTACTCTTCCTGAAAATTTGGTAATAAAAAATGAGGTGTTACTTTTTGAAGATGTCAGATGATGCAGATACAGATTGTACTTTCAGAAAATCTGTTGGGACTCAATGTATTTCTGTGTTACTACTGGGTTTTTAATCACTTAAGCAGACTATTCCTGTTAGTGACTGTACAAAACAAAAAAATCAACCAACCAACCAAAAAACAAACAAACAGAAAACCCAATTTTTTTAACTCATCTAATATTTTAAAAAATTGTATTGGCTTTTCAGTTTTCTTTGAGCCTTAAAAAGCCTCTGTGATCTCTGAAAGCATGTAGTTATGACTAGATAGCATCTGAGACCATGCATACTGAAGGCCTACAACCAAGTTTTGGGTTTCGTTTTCAGGAAAAAGTTATTAATTCTGAAATAAAAGATAGTAATGTTTGACCTTCAGGGAAGGAAATCAAGCGCTGTATAGACAATATTAGTTCAGAAAGTATTAAATAAAAGCTTAATTCTAGGTGAACTTCTGAGGTTCAAATCGAGTGCATTATTTTACCTATTACACAGCTGTATACAAGCGAGTATTTCTTTTTTTGAGTAAACATTTTATCATCCATAAAAGACTCAGAAATTTGAGCAGAAGTTATCACTCATCATTAGCATTTTTTGTTGGTTTTATTGATTGCTATTATAAGGACTCATCTTCCTCAGGCGTTTGCTCCATGACATCCGTTTAGTCTGTGACTTTTGTTCTTCAAACGCACGTGATAATTTCGGTATATGAAAGACAGTAGAGGGAAGTTAATAACATCTGTCTTTGTTTACAGCATTAATAGCATATGTCCTTGTTTTTGATTGATCCTGGGCATTTGGTATTGTACTTTGAATGTGAATTTGCACACAACTGTACAAGAAAAACGGTCTTTTGATTTTTAGTGTGTTATAGCTCAGAATCTGATTGTATTGGTTAGAAATTTCCTCTCATACACTTCATGGATAACACTGCAGTACTTTGATCTTTTTCGTGTTTTGCTTGACTTACTAAACAATTGGTAACAATTGAGTCTTTTAAGTCAAAACTAAACTGACATAATATGACCAGGTTATTCAACTGAAATATTAAATGAAGCTGATAAATGTGTGTTTACAATGATTTTGTAAATGCTAACAACTTTACTGTTGTTGTCTTCTCCCTGCATATACAAGCAGTATTAAACTACATTTTTGGACTTGATTAATTTTTAGAGGATTCTTTTGCTACTTTTCAAACTAGCACAAGGCAAAAATGTAAAAAGAAATATGTGGAGATGTTTGTAAGGAAACAACTAATTCTATTTTCTTAAATCAGACTGATGAGGAAAAGTTATTCTGGTTCAGTTGGGAGAATCATTCCTGAAAGACATACATAGCTAAAAAAATACAAGCAAGGCTAATAGTTGTGTAATGCCATAAAGTAGTAAAGTATTTGGTAATGTTTTAAAAATAGCTGATGCATAGAGACAGTAAATAATTTGTTGTATTTCAACTTTGGCTTTTTTTGTGATTCGATAATTGTTTTTCTTGTGATTCCTAGGTGCTGCAGTAGCTGGAATTTACAGAGTAGCAGGGAAGAATATGGCTCCCCTAGAAGCTCTTGTCTTTGGTGTTGGACAGACAGTACTGACATTAATTATATCATTTTCAAGAATTCTTGCAACGCTTTGAGACTTATGTAGAAGGGAAAAAAAAAAATCAACTAGTCCTAAGGAAATCTTTAATATGAGGAGAAGCTTCCTTGAAGTGGATTCATCAGCTTATGAACTTGAATTCTCGTGCAAGAGAAAGGAAGCTATGTGGAAAGTGCACTACAGATCTAGAGGCTCAGTCAAATGAACAGACTGTCCTCTAGCGTTGGAACTGTTGTACTTCTGCACTGCACCTCACGTGCCTCGGTCACAGGCAAGGTGCAATCCTGGTGTGCGGAGTGGAGATGAAGCACCTTGAACAGCTGCCAGTCAGGTTAATAATGCTTGATGATGGGATCATTGTTCTTAACGTGTAATAAAGTATTAAGGGGCGGTCCTGAAAATTGCTGTGTGTGCCAAACTTGGAGTTTAATTCTGAGCAGGTGGCTGGGTAAGTTTTGAAATCCGGCAGAGTGCTGTGAACGTACATGATTCTCCTTGAGCTCTAGGGAAATAGGAAGATAACTGACTTTTGTATTAGCAGAATCTCTTTCAATGCTGAATGTTCTTGTTCAGCATCCAAAACAACTGTTGGATCTGTTTCAAAATGTAGATGAATTCTGATGGGGTTTAAGAACCACAGCTTTAACAACCCTGATATAATTAGCACTATGTGAAGAATGGCTCATGGCAGTTTTCTGAAGCTTAGCACATTTCTTCGTGATTTTAGCCTGTCAGAAATCAGGAGTTTAAGGAGACTGTATGAAGATTACTAAGTACAATCTGTTGTGTATGCACAAGCAAATCTTAAATTGATGTTTTCCTTGAAATTATTTTGTCTTAAACATACAGATGGTTATCAGCCATTCTGCAAACCTCAGAAAGGATATTTGTTGCACATAAACTCCCTACATTTATTTAAGCACTGATGGGACCCTTAACCCTACATATATTCTGTAAAGAACACACAAATATAACAGACTCTCAGACAATACACCTATGAGGAAAATGGAGAGGGGTAAAAACATGATATACTGTTTTTCTACTGAACAGAAATATTAAGTTTAATAAAATAGTTGCTATATTCCAAAAATTTGGAAGTGGGACAGCACTAATGTCATTTACTACCTTGTTTCTGAACACTTTGTAACTTTGGAAAGATTAAGATGCCTGGAACTTTCAAAAACTTAGCTTCCAGTAGTTTGTGCTGTTCTAGTTTAAAGGGGACGGTAGTGTTGTGCATGTGGAATGTCTTATATGTGAGTGTTTTGGATTAAATAGAAACTTTAGGTCTAATGACTCTTTATGAAATACAAAATTTAAAAGGCATAAAGTTCTGTGAGGAATAAGGAGTCTTTTACACCTTTCCTCATCTCAATGCTTTTCAGCAGTTGGCTCTGAATAATGAAAGGAAGAGTAAGTTGCTCAAAGGTTTTGCTGTTATAATGTCAAAAAGACTTCCAGCATTGTTGAAAACAGTGGGCACCTACTACACAGCTAAAACAATATGGTTAAAATACAGCTTACAGTCCAGTCATTGCTTAGTGCTTCAAAAATAATGAATTAACCTGTCTGCCTTTGTCTTACTCCACATACGTGTTTTGTTGTTTGTTTTTTTTTTTTTTTAAGTACTAAGAAAGCTAATATTATTTGTTTTCTTTAAAAGTATTTAAGTCTTGTTTGGAAAATGTGCAGTCATGGGCTTTGCAGGGGACAAGTTAAAATATAGGTTTATAAATATTTTCAGTGTTATATTTTTGACTTTGAATTGCTCTAAAAATGTGGCTGAAAACATATACTCATGTTTTGAATGTCTTCAAAAACTTACTTTTGTAGTTTCTTTTTTTGTCTTGTGGTTTTTACATTCTACTTGTACTTTTTGGCACACAATCATTGCACTTTAATAGACAATGAAATTATCACAACTGTAAAAAGCAATTGAAACTTCTCCCCGTTGTCTTAAATTGTGAGAAAACTGGTTTCAGGTATTTAAGTCAAATTGAATAATAAAGTAATTGAAGATGTTTCTCCTAATGTGCCTTGTTACATACATATTTAGGGGAGAGGATAAAAAAAAAAACTGTTACATCTTTATTCTTGTTCTATTTTGGTTATTTCGATTTCATTTGGTTACTTGATACAATGTCTTATCCAACAGACATCAAACATTTTGTCTGACAACCTGGAAATGCTTGTCTTAATCCAAATGAACCATATAATGAAGCACTGTGTTGTGTAGTATAGATTGTCTCGACTTTAACTCACGCTGAAAATTTTTCCCAGGTTCCAAATTTCCTTGAACATCTCAGCTCTTCTTTTTCTAGAGGCTGCTATGCTGCCAGTGATCAATGGCTTGTTGTCTTTCACTAAGTTGAACTGCAGCAGGCTACTACTAACTGATGAGATGCATATACTTCTATCGATGATTTTTATTCTTCCTTTTAATTACAGTGCCAGTGAAATTGTTGCCATTGCAATTTTCCTTTTTTTTGCAGGAGGCATCTTTGCAGGTTTTAAGTTACCTTTCTCCAAGTAATTTTTATTTCGTAGATTGTTGTAATCACTTTTAAAACATTGTGTGCTTAGTTGTCTCTGCTTTATATGGCATTATTGCCTGGCAACAAGGGACAGGCAGATGACATAATGCTTAAGTGACTTAACAGAGACAAAGCTTTATTTGACAGAAGTTTGTTTTCAGCTGTTTCTTGTGAGGAATTTATGAGGACAAATAGTTTGTCTACGAAGTATTCTTTGATCATAGCGTAAACGTACTGCATAATAACTCCAACAGTGAAAGGAAGTGTAAGTGGCCTTATGTCTGCAAAACTTCTAAGTTTCATTCCACATCCCTAGAAAGAGCATTGTTAAACATAAGGTGCTTTAGTCAGTGCAGTTTATGCATATATGTGTGAATGTGTGTATACATTTATATATATGAATGGTGGCTTTACAGTGTGTTTTATACCTGGCACATACTAACAACTGAAATAACTTTTCCAAGAAGCATAAAATTACCTTAGATATCTTTTACCCCCACCCTGCCCCTCTTCATTATTCTACAAAGATATCTTGTGAATGGCACTGATGGTACTCTGGTTCCCTTTGGACAATACAGTGTTGTGCAGATGTCCATATGGGATGTTTTAGCACTATCTTCAAATAGCCCTGCCTGCCTCTGCATTGTATCACTAGACCCATTCTTCATTGTGCAGAACAAATAGTGCATCAACACAATTTAGCTTTTGGAAGAGGAGGGAGTGCTGAGTATAATATTTATTGTGAGAAAGCTTCTACTGCTTTGCTGGAGGCTACTGTTAAAGATTAAAACATTCCACACACTTTCAATTTATCAGGATGGTCATAGAATCATAGAATATCAGGTTGAAAGGGCACTCAAAGATGATCTGGTCCAACCTTTCTTGTCAAGATCGTGGTCTAGACAAGATAGCCTGACACCCTGTCCAGCCAAATCTTAAAATAGGCCAATTAATGTTGGGGAATCCAACACTTCCCTGGGGAGATTATTCCAATATAATTATTTCAGTGTCCAATGTGACTCCTTGTAAAAATGTAACCATCCTTTAAAAACTGGAATATGATGGTAAGGTTTTCCCTAAGCCTTCTTTTCTCAAGACTGAACTAATCCAGTTCTCTGTCTTTTCTCATATCTCAGGCTTTCCAGACCTTTAATTATCCCTGTGGCCTCTCCAGGCTGTCCATGTAGGTTTTGTGCATAGTGGAGACCAAAACTAAACACAGTATTCCAGGTGTGGCCTGACAAGGAGCCTGAATAGAGTGGGATAATGATGATTTTATCTCTCCTGGTGATGCCCTTGTTGATACAGTCCATCATCCTACTGGCTTTCTTTGCTCAACAGCACACTGCTGACTCATATTGAGCTGCTTGTCCACCAGGGTGCCCAGGTTTCTTTCTATAGAGCTGCTACTCAGCCAGATTGATCCCAGCCTGTACTGCACTCCTGGATTATGTTTTCCCAGATGTAAGACCTTACGCTTGTCCTTGTTGAACTTCATAAGGTTCTTGTTTGCGCACTCTTTACAGCTTGCCTATGTCTTTCTGCAGGGTGGCTCTCGCTTCTAAAATGTCCACTTCCCCACTCGGTTTGGTATCATCAGCAAACTTCATCAGGATACACTTGATCCCATGGTCCAGATCACTTATGAAGGCATTGAAGCCTTGGGCTCAGTATCAGTCCCTGGAGGGCCCCACCTGTGGCAGGTTGCCAGTTTGAAAAGGAGCTTTTTGCCACCAACCTCTGGGTGCAGCCTGTTGGACAGTTCCTCATCCACTGCACTGGCCTCTCATCTGGATCATCATGCATCAGTTTCTCTAGGAGGGGGCTGTAGGAAACCACATCAAAAGCCTTGGAGAAATCCAGGTAGACACTGTCCATTGCTGGCACTACGTCCACCAAACAGGTTATTTCGTCATAGAAGGCAGTCAGATTTGTGGAGTACGATTTGCCCCCTGGTGAATCCCTGCTGGCTCTTCCCAATTGTGATTCATCTGAACTGCGGTAGTCCTTCAGAGGATTCATTCCATAACTTTCTTAGGGACTCTAGTAAGACTGATGGACCTATAATTTCCTGAATCCTCCTTTAAACCCTTCTTGTAGATGGGGGTCAAGCTCCTGTGACAGGTCACATGCCAGCTCTTCCTTCACTGACTGGCAGTGTGGTCTGTTTGCATCAGGCTGGATTTCTGTGTCCCAGGGCTGGGGGCCTGGCAGTGCCGATAAAGATTGAGGTGAAGGAAATGTTGAGAAGATCTCTGTCAGTGTTATTGGTTACTGTTCACCTCTCCTGTTTTAACAGGGTGCCGATATTTTCTTTCTGCTTTTATTTACGCTCCTGAAGAACCCTTTCTTGGAGTTTTTCACATCTCTTGCCACTTTCAATTCAAGATGAACTTTTGCTTTTCTAACTGTGTCTCTTCACACCTGTGAGGACATGTCAATGTCCTCATAGTTCACAGTGGGTATTTGTCTGCTTTTCCATCTCTGGTACGCTTCTCTTCTGGCTGTGAGCAGATTCAGAGGTTCACAGTTAACCCAAGGTGGTCTCTTGCTCTGCCTGCTTTCCTGACCTTAAAGTGGATGAACTGGTTTTGTGTTTCCTAGAGACTGTTGTTGAAAAACTCCCAGCAGTCACTAGCCACTTTATCCTCCGTGCTGCCTCTATCATCCCTCCCGACTGAGCCCTGAGCATGCTGAAGCTTGGTCTTCAGACTCAAAAATGTGTGTCTTCATTGTGCTCAGCAGGATCCCAAACTCCACAATACTTTGATTGTGGCAGCCAAGGCTATTACTAATTGGAATACTACAAAGCAGGTTTTCTTGTCTTATAAGTAGGAAGTCCAGCAGTGCCTTATTCTTGGTTGGCACATATAACATTTGTATTCCAAATATGTCCTCTGTGTATTCCAGGCACTTGATGGGTAACATGTGAGCTGCTGTATTGTTCTTCCAACAAGTCTCTGGGTATCACACATAAGACCCAGATTCTGGTGACCCAAAGCTTGCCTAAGTGACCCAAATATTGCTTTGTTGGCCTTATTGTCTTGGTTTCGAGGTCAGTAGCAGGTGCCTTCTGTAAGAATCCCCTCTCTGATCTTGATTCAGAGGCATTCCACAGTTGCCATGCATATTGGTATAGACACACTTGAGGTGGCTGATCTTCTGATTCTCATCTTGGGAATCAGCTAAGGAATATTTGTCACTGCTCTGGTTGGCCTGAATTATTGCCCAGATCAAAAGATTTTGTTTTTTACTCAAAAACTACAGCTCTATTATAGGAAAAAATCTTCGAAGTAATATAATCACTGTTGTTCATCTTGTGGTCATTTTGGTGTTATGAAACTGATCTCTGTACTTGAGTAGTGATGATTTGATGTTTGCTATTGACTTTTTTTTTGAAAAAAAAACCCAGTAATTTAACTAGTTTTGGGCATTTGAGATGGACCAAAGAGAGTAGTCCTGATTTTGTCTAACATAGCTATTTTTGAAGTACACTGTTCTTATTATGCTAAGGGAAATAGTATTCCCCTCTCAACATATTGCATATTGATATTTATTTTTCTTACAGTTTGTATTTGAATGCTGTTGTGGGGGGCTATAACTATAAGAATTGGTGTAATTTTTTTTTCTGTTTTAATTTATGTATTTCATGCACTAGGCATTTTCTAATAATGCCTTTCCTGCATTAAATCTAAATATTTTATCATGAGCACATTAAACTGTATGGTTTTGTACACAGCCATTCAACATCACACCTGTATAATTCCAGACAAGCAGACACAATAGTACTCCTAGGTGTAACGAAGTGTGGATGAATTAGTTAGGGCCCCCCTCCCAAAAATTATGTGGCACTAATAAGGCTCAGAAATGCAATTGTAAACATGACAATTTTTTTCGGTTGCTTTACTGTTTCTAGAAAGAGGCTTTTTCACCGTATGTGTGTGTCTGTTAAGGGGAATAATGTGGAGATTGGTTGTTAGATGGCAACTGCAACCTAATCGAATTCCAAGCAATTTCAGTTAAAATGAAATTCTGAATTTTGTTCATAAATTATGGTGGAGTACTACATACATATAAATGCTAGAGCATATCTTTATTTCAGAGTTACCAGAATTTAACATACAGCTGCATCAGCATATTGATAGGATATCTTTTCAATTATTACTTTTTTTTTAGCCTCTAGATTGAGAGCAGGGTAAGGTAAAAACACTGTTTAAATCCTCAGCCATTTTTTCAGAAAGAATAAGTGTTCTTTGTGTACAGGTGAATTTAACAGAGCTGAAAAAGGTCAGTGGGAAAAGCATTCTGTACTCTGTTCCAGCAGTGAAGTCTTTAGCTGGGCTGCCTTGGTTTGTGTATTTAACTGCACATCCTTTGCGGAAAATGAAGTTATCGTGGAAAGCAGAATTCAGCTTGAGTACATATGTTTGATATCTTGTGAGTGTGAAAGCTTATGTCTTGACAGCACAATGCTTGCCACAGTTGTCCCTGAAGTTACATTCGAAATCAGTTTGGGCATTAATTTAAAATGTAGTCACAAAGATATCTCAAAGCC